GGTAGTAAAACTCCCAATTTGAATAGTAAAAGAGTCAGTATGTACAGTGTGTAAAGAGAGAGAAAGAATGAACAACAAGAACATCAACAAGGTCAACAAGAGCATATTCAACATATATTCAACAAAATAGGTAGGTAGATGCTATCTGGTTCGGGCTGGGGAGGTCAGCTTTTCAGGTGTGTCTCGTGTGGGGAAGAAAGGGGCTGTGGTGGTGGTGGTGTGAATAGGCGCAAATTGGTGGTAGTGATGGTGGTGGTGGTGTCATTGCCGCACTGTCTGTCGGAAGGCTACTTTCGTTGTCTGACTTCAGTCTGAGATCTGGAAGCACGGTCTGGAGGTGACCAGTTGCTGAAGTGGCAGGCGTGCAAAGAGAAAGAGAGAGAGAGAAGGAGAAAGATAGAGGTTATTCTTCAGTGGGCACACAGTGTGTTTGGGGGCGTTCAGAGTGTTGGGTGTATTCATCATCTCTGGGCTCATCATCATGACTGAAGCAAGCAAGCGTGAAGCAGGTCGGGTCGGTGAGGTGTGTCAGGCCCTCTCAGTTCCCCACAGCCTTCTTCCCTCCATCAGCTCTCTAAGCAGTCAACTTTTTCCTAGTGATTTGATTGAGCCAGTGTTTGAGAGAGAGAGAGAATGAGCCAGAGAATAGTACAGAATAATAATAATAATAGTCAGTTAGTCAATGGGAGAGTGGCATTGGCATTATTAGGGCTGAGCAAAAGAGCGCCTGACAAAAGCCTACTGTCTGGGCTGCTGGTAAACTGGTCATAGTAAGTAAGGTCCCTCAAATTTTGGTCTCCTTCTTGAGGAGCGAGGAGGAAGAAGTGGAAGCAGTTAATACACACCCTTCATCGTTCTGGTTGCGGTTGTGACTGTCGGGCTCATCAAAGTCCGGCTTGATTCGCCGCTTCTCGTACACAAAAATGACCAGCACGAGGATGAGCACCTCGCAGACGATGCCGATGAAGGGCCACAGGGCGGCCAGGCGATCTGGAAGATAAAAGAGAGATTTAGAACATGTCGTACAATAAACTCCTCTTCCCCCCCCTTACCCTTCACCCTGAGGAGGATGGTGTTGTTGAATGAGACGACCTCATTGTGCGCCTTGCACACGTAGTACGCCCGGTCCTCCCGCCGTACCGCGGCAATGGTGAGCACACTGACGAGGACGCTGGCACTGCTGCCACTCCTGCCATCACTGCCGCCATTGTTGCCGCTGGTACTGGCACTGGTGCTGAGACCAGAACTACTTCCAGTCGAACTCCCACTGCTGTCACTGCTGTAGTTGGCCTCGATGCGAATGTGAGCATGTGTGTCGTTGATGGGCGTGAGGAGGTGTGCTGGGGGTGGCTCAGTGCCGCTGTCCCCGGTGGCCTCCTCCTCGCTGTACGTGAACCACTGCAGACGGGCGTCACGTTCGTAGCCGGGCGCCACGGCGCAGCGCAGCGAGAAGCGCTCCCCCTCCACCACGTTCGCCGACTTGTAGTTGGTCGCCTGGAACTCCTCAAACGGATACAGCAAGGGCCGGCCTAGATAAGAAGAAGAATTAGTTTTTTGCTAATGCCCTCAAAACAAAACAATGACTTACTTCGCACCCTCGTCGTGGCGTTGAGATTGTTGACATTGTGAGCACAGGTGTAGTTTCCCACATCACTGGGAGAGGAAAAGAATTGAGCATTTTTCATTCCTTTCCCTTTCTCACAAATCAGCTTACCCAATTTCGGCATCTTTGATTACTAAGGTCCACTGCCTTGAGCTTTGAATGTGTTCTACTTCAACACGATCTCGCAGTTCGTCTATCTCATCAATGTTTCTATTGTCTTTGTACCTGAAGAAGGCGGAGAGCGGCGGATTTAGTAGATTCAACTTCAACTTGAAAGTTTAAAAGTGGCACTTGAGTGGCACCCCCGAGCACTTACCATCTAACTTGACTCCTATCTGAATTTGTGTGCTCACTAATATTGCACTGGATCCTCAACTCCCGCTTCTCAGCCAGGACATGAGGACCGTTAATGTACACTTCGTTTTCTGTGGCAAAAAAAATGGCAAAAGGGAAATTGAATGTTAGAAAATAGGGACGCTAAGTGCAGCAAAGTGCTCCATGTTCTGGTCTCTACTGTTCAAGTGATCATTTAGAGGAAAAAGTGGTATAGAAAATGAGAGAAAGAAAGGACGTCATACCGACGAAGCGGAGTAAAGTTAGTAGTATAAGAGCAAGCGTAAGGAGAATGTATGTGGCCATCGGAGATGGGTCGAGGAGGGGCGAGTCAGCGAGTGACTGGCTGGCAGACGTAGTATTTCAAAAGATAAGAAGATAAGGAGATAGAAGATAGATTATTGCTGATTCAGAGCAAAGGAGAAGAAGGAAGAAGGTGGTTGAAGCTTGGTTTGAATAGAAGAAGATTTATCAAAAGAAGTAGTAGTGGAGGGCACTAGGTTGATGAGGAGAGAGAGATCGGCAAAATATGAACACACACTGGAGAGAAGAAGATGATGCACGATCACTTGACTGAACAAAAGGAAGTAGTAGTAGATGAGGAGCGTGAAAGGGATTATGGGCACTTTGTGAAGAAGGACTCGGGATTGACAAGATTCGATGAGGATGGTGGTGGTGGTGCTTGTCGAGTGCTTCGATCTTCGTACTGTCGTACAGTTTACACAGTGGGGAGAGAGAGAGAGAGTAAAAGGGCCAAAGAAAACTTTAAGGAAAAGAAAGTAGGTGGTGGTGGAGTAGGAGAAGGTGAGGAGAAAACGCAATAACCAAAGTATTTAAAGGGAGGAGGTTGGAGTAAGAGGAGGAGGAGAAAAAGAGGGATAAAACGAAAGAGAAGAAAGAGGTTGTGGATAAACCAAACATGGAGACTGAAGACAGGAAGAGAGCAAGAAGATGGTGCTGATCCTATTCCTGATGATGTTCTCCCCTGGTCAAAGATGACCTTTCAGTTGTTCCGTTTCAGCAACTCCTGTGCCTGTCCGAGTTCTGCTGGCAATGCTTCCCAAGCCTCTGCACTGCCCCTTGTTCCGGGGACTTTTCCGTTGATGTTGATGCTGCAGTCGACCAGTTCTCACTGCTTCCGCCTCTGCTAATATCAGCAGTACACTGCTCGACAATCTCCAAAGAGAATCTCTGCTTTCTTCTTCAGTGGACTGCTTTCTGGAGAGAACGTTCACTGGTGTTTCAGCGAGGTGAATAGAGTAGTAGTGTGGATGGAGGAGAGGATGATGGAGAGCAACGAGTCCGAGACGAGGGTGCATAACTTGTTCAGCAAGGTGAGGGCACCGTTTGCAGACTGACTGGCCAATTGAAAGAAGAAGAAGATGAAGCACCCGATGTGATGGAAGGCAGAGGATGGTGGTGCTGCTGCCTTCTTCAGTGCCTTCGGTGCCTGGTCATTTCTATGGTTTGGCGGTGGCAGTGAGGAGAGGTGGGTGTGATGTGCTGGGGTGAATCAGCGTTGAATCAAATTGGTGCTGGTGCTGCTGATTGAGCGAATGCGAGAAGAAGCACCAGGCAAAATTAGTACTAGTGCACAGCAGCAGAAGCAGCAGCAGCCGCAGATTCTTCGGTGCTGCTGGCGCTGGTCGTCGTCGTCTCCGCTGCCGTCGTCGTCGTCGTCGTCGTCGTCGCCGTCGTCTCCAGCACTGGTCGTGTGGCGGTGTGTCCTTCGCGTGTGAGTCTGTCGGTTTGCTTCTCTAACTGCCGCTGCTGGTGCTGCTGCTGCCAGTGCAGCACACTAGTGCTGCTGGAGCTGGTCGACGTGAAGCAGAGCAAAGTGAGCGAGAGAGAGAGAGAGAGGAGAAAGAACAAGCGAACAAGAACAAGCGCAAATGTCGGACCAAGAAATGTGGTGGGGAAAACGAAGAAGAAGAAGAAGAAGAAGAAGGAGAATCGGTTGTCGGCAAAAGAGCGAGAGAGTTTTAATCTTCTCCTTTCATCGAGAGGATTGCTGCTGGTGCTGGTGCTCGTTTAGGCCGACCGAGGAAGACAGACACTCGGTCAGTTATTGCTCCTCTTCTTCGTTCTTGGTACTTGTGTTGTTCGGCTCGGTTCGGTTCTGGTCTTGGAGGACCGCACTGATTCGAGGGCGCACTGAAGAGCAGAGCAGAAGAAGAAGAAGAGCAGTGTGTGGGGAGTGGAGTGAGCGCCGACTTGAGCACACACACACTAGCTCTCCTCTCCTCACTCACTCACTCTCGGCGAATGAAGAGAGAGGGAGAGAGAGAGAGAGGAAGAGAGAGAATGAGATAGATACACAGTTTCACTTTCTTCAAAAGAGTCACAGCAGAATATTCTTCACACACACACTGCGAACAGAATAGAGCAGACCAGACGACCAAGCAAACACACACACACTCGCTCACTCGCTCACTCACTCTCACAACAGCAGTCGCAGCGGCAGCAAACTCGTCGTCTTCACTCGGGTTGACTTTTGCGCTGGTGCTGGTGCTGGTGGTAGTTCTGCTGGTAATGCTGGTAATGCTCGCACAAACTGAAGAAGAGTAGAAGGAAGAAGAAGAAGAAGAAGAAGAAGACGGGCTCAGCAGTCTCAGCAGTCTCAGTGACTGGTGCTGGTGCTGGTGCTGGCCTCTCTCAGTCATTCAGCAGTCTCACTGGCAGTCTCTCCCTTCCTTTCCTTTCCTTTCTTCGAGCTGAGAGTGGTGGCTGCTGCTGCTGCTGCTGCCGATTCTGGTGTCGGCGACGGCGTCGGCGGCAGAATCGAGGAGAAGCAAAAAGAGGCAAGACGGCGGGAGAAGAAGAAAGAGGCAGTGTGTGTGCACACAATTGGAGCCGATTGGAGAGCCAGGCAGAAATGGGAAAATGTAGATCGCAGAGACCTCAATGCTCCGCTGCTATTCTTTGGCAGAGTGACAACCACGGAGAAAGAGCCTGGATAGTGCGGGTGCTGGTGCAGTAAAAGGCACCAGAAAATGAGAGAGAGAGAGAGAGAACTGCGGCTGCTGCTGTTGTGTTTGGTGGCCGTCTGTCAGTACTGCTCCAAGTACTTTCCCTCTCTCTCCTTCTCTCTCCTCCTTGTGCAATGCCTCTCACTCACCCTCTGTGTATCCATGTGCACACTTTTCTCTTTCTCCCAGTGTGAGCATCGGTCGTGCGCACTGCCACTACCTCGACGTCGACCACGGCGACCACGGCGACTACGACTACGACCACGACGACGACTAGCACTGACTGCCAGCAGCTCAGCTCTCATTCATAAGTTGTCCCTAGGAGAGAGAATCAGTGGCGGATCAGCCAGCCAGCCAGCCAAATTCTGCTGCTGCAAATTACCGCTCAGCCAAGAATGGCGGCTATTCTCGTTCGCTCACTATGTGTGCCCTTTTTATTTGCCGGCGAGTCGACACGCTGCCGCCCCCTCCCTCCCTGGCAGGCACTTCAGAGAGGGCGACATACTCTCTGAGAATGAGATGGTGCTGCTAAATGAGAGAGAGAGAGCATTTCTCAGCAGCAGCAGACGGCGGAGGCGACAACCGGCGTCATTGAGCTCATCGACGACGCCGACAACCTTTACCTTCAGGGATAGATAGAGCAGAGCACCCATTGACCCCTCTAATTGAGAGTAAAGGTGCATCAGCACCACCACCACCATTACCATCACCATCATCACCATCATCATCATCATCAAGATCAGAACTGTGTGCTGAAGAAGAAGCTGAACATGCTTTGGGAGGACTGGTCCGCCGAGCAGGAACAGCATTGAGGCTGGCATTGAAGGCAATCAGTGCCGATGGTGCACACCACCACCACCACCATCCATTCATCTGGTGCTAATGGTTCAGATCAGATAATTGCCCGAGAGAGGATAGTGACCATGGCAATCTAGCCATCCAGTGTCCCAGTCAGCCTGACTGTACAACGGCAACACATACACCGTACAAGAAAGCGAGAGAGAGAGAAGCATGAAATCGATCAGCGCTCATCGGTGTGCGCGTGCTGACATGTGTGCATGTGCCTGTTCACTGTGCAGGTTCTTGAGCCTGCACAGTGACACGGCGGAAATGGCTGCCGAAGCACTGATCAGTGGCAATTGCAGGATTGATGGCTGTCAATTGAAGAAGGCAGACAGCTCACTCTCTCTCCACTACCGCCAATTGTCGATTTTCACCATGACCAATTGCGAACGTGTCACGCCGGGAAAGTGGTCGGAAAGTGGCCACACTGCTACTGCTCCCAAGTCAGTGCACTTTAGGCACTGGCAGCAACTTTTTCCCTACATTTTTTGCCGCCGCCGTGGAGAAAGAAGCAGTAATTTGGTGGCAGTGGTGCCCATGTTCCTGGACTGCACTGCTGCTCCTCTAGAGACTTGGCTGACTTCGAGTGGTATATCATCTCTGGGTATCTCTCTCTCTCTCTTTCGGTATATGAGCCTAAGCTTACGCATAGCTGCACAGTAATTGTCAGCTGGCGATATTAGCATACATGATGATCTACACGGTAGTGCCAGCCAGCAATGTAGTGCACTGCTCTCACTGCTCTCACACTCTGGCATTCATTTATTCTGGTAGTGGTTGCCTCGTTGCACATTGTCATCCACCAGCAGCAGCAGTTGCTGCCATTAGTAACGATTACAAGAAAGAGAATGAGAGAATGGGAAACAAGTGCAGCCTGGTGCACACACAGCCTAGGCAGTGCTCAGCTCAGCACCATTAATTGGGCTGCACAATGGCCAGCCAAAACGGTGGTGCTGGAAAGGGCTTCGAAGTAGTAGAAAGCATGAAAGAAAGCAAGGGTGCCCAGCAGAGTGTGTGTGTGCACTGCCTGGTAATAAATCTATTTGCTGGGACAAGCAGTGCCTGTGGTAATGGGCAAGAGGAGGAAGGGGAAGGGGAAATGGCACGCACAAATATGTATCGCTCAGCCAGGCAGCAGCAGCACTGGCAATCTAATTAGCAGCTGACCAGAACATGGAACACAGCGCGAACTCTTTGCCGAACTTCGACCTTTGCCCACCTACCTCTGACGTTGAGCAGCAGCGTTTCCTCGTCCGCGGTGAGCGTGTTGTCCACCCGACAGGTGAGGGCAGTGTTGTGCAGGTCCATCTGCAGGTGGTCAATCGCCAGAGTGTCATTCGCCTCCTCGCTGGCCTGCAGCTCGATGCCCAGCTCGTAGCGCAGCTCATTCTCATTCAGCTTTTGATTTCCTGTAATCAAACAATAGAATGATAGGGTCAAGTGGGTAGGGGCACTTATCAAACATACCGACAATCCAGGTGATGTGTCCCCGTGGATAGCCGCTGTAGCGACAGGTCACCTGGGCGCTTTCATTCTGCACCTTGTACAGCACTGGCCCACTTGAGAATGGCTTCACTCGTATCGGTGCTAATTTAGGGGGTGATATAAACATCCGATCAAGTATTAGTAGTGCCCATCACCCTCGCCCTCCCACTTACCTCTGAGGTGAATGTACTGCCCGAATCGGGCGCCTCCCTCCGCCTCCATGTTNCGAGAATGGCTTCACTCGTATCGGTGCTGTGATAAAAGGGGGTGATGTGAACGTCCGATTAAATATTAGTGCCCACTTACCCCTGAGGTGGATGTACTGCCCGAATCGGGCGCCTCCCTCCGCCTCCATGTTGTCCGTCCGACAGAGGTAGATGCCGGCGTCCCGGTCGCTGGTGGCATTCTCAATGACCAGTCGGGAGCCGTCCGGGTACCGCCTCTCATCCCGCTCAATGTAGTTGCCGTCTTTGCTCCTAAGCAATCACAGAAGGTGATCAATCAATGACAGATGCAGCAGCAGAGGCAGGCAATTAAATCACAGTTGTCCTATGAATTCATAATCTCCCTTGTTCCTTACCAGTAGACGGGCGACTTTGGATTGGACATCTCGAGGGCGCAGTCAATCTCCACCCGTTGTCCTTCCCCCTCCAGAACCTGGTAGAGAATGACCGCCTCATTTCCACTAGTGCTACTTTCCAGTCGGTGTCTGCTGGCCAGCGGAATGACGTGCAGCAGGTGGGCACGCCGGCTGAAGGCATTGCAGCGGTAGTAGCCGCCGTCGGAGAGGCGGACACTGCTGATCACCAGTCGCTCGAGGCGACGAGTCTGCAGACTTTCACTGCTAGGCTCGCTCCACATTCGCCCGGAGGCAAAGTGGAGGGGACGGTCATTGTGCGTCCACTGGGGCGCCTCGAAGCGGGACATCTCACAGCTCAGCGTCAGATTGTCGCCCTCCGCCACCGAGCTGGGCCCGTAGTAGGTGACGGGGCTCTCGGGGCCCAATTGCCTACTGGACACAGTCTCTGCTGCCGAGCTTAAGTCAGATGCAATGCAGGTCCCTCCTGAAAAGAGAGAGAGGGTGAAGATGGAAGGGAATCAGTTCTACGAGCAGCAAGAACAGTAGTACTGAAGAGGCAGTGCTCTTTACCGAAGAGGAGGAGGAGAAGGATGGGGAGGAAGGGGAGGAGGACAATTGCCATTCTGCTGATGCTTCGAGGTGATGAATGAGGGTGAGGATGAGGATGAGGATGGGGATGTGTGAAGAAGCTGCTGTGTCCGCCCGAAGAGGCAGCATTGAGGTAGGTGGTGGTGGCGGAGGAGGAGGAGGATGATATCTGATGCGGCTCGAGTGGTGCTGAAGAGCGGTGAAGAACACATTGCATTGTCTTTAGGCGAGGCACCCAGTGGCAGTAGAATCGTCGCCGTCGTCGTTGCTGTTGTTGTTGTCGAGCTGTGGCCAAATCTTCCTATCCTATCCTATCTCACTTGCCAGTTGATATTCTCTCACTCACTCCACCATAATTAGCCACGGTGCATGTTTAGGGGAGATGGAGCAGCAGGCACTTGACGACACAGTCAGGGGAGATGGAGAAGGTGAAAATGAAGTGAAGAAAAAATAGACGGTGATGAGACAAAAATATACCGAGACACACACACACACTCGCACACTGTCAACGACGATCAAAGGAGGGGATGGTAATGGTGGGGATGGTAATGGGGATGGTGGTGGTAATACAGCTGCAATGTGCACACTCATTCACACTACCGAATTCACTGCCGCTGGCAATGGCTGATGAGGATGGTGATGCTGGTGATGCCGCCGCCGCCGCCACTGCCTTCCATGCCTCACTGTCTCCCTGAGGACTGGTGTCACCGGGCACCTCACAATTCACAGTCGTCGTCGTCTTGGGTGTGCAGCTCAGATAAGCTGACACAAGAGGAGAGACACTTGCTCGCTGACTCAGATTCGGTTGCAAGCGGAGGAGGAAATGAAGTGCTACACTGATGCTCCACCACCAGCACTAGTCGCAGACTGAGAGGGCTAACCTGAGCTCACTTCACAGCCACCAGAAGAAGATCACCCGAGGAGAATAGTCTGGAGATGTCTGAAGGGGAACAACGGCGGGGCAGCAACGGCAGATCTGCAGCAGAACAACAGTCAGACAAGTCAGAACAGCTGCAGATGCAGATGCTGTGCTCTGCTGCTGCCACAAAGTTCACCAGTGATGAAGAAGAAGAAGCAGAAGACTGACTGGGTGAAGTGTGCTATCGGTGTGCTCTGCTGCTGTTTCTGCTGGCAATGTCTACAAGTCGACCGGCGTGTAAAAATAGATGCCAACACCGATCCGAGGAGATGTGCAGTGGGGGTGGAAGAGAGAAAGAGAAGAGGGCACACTGAGGAACGGAGCCAAAGACTACAGAGAAGGGAGACAAATTGGCTCGGCGGTAGACTGACTGACACTGCTCCCCTTCCCTTCCTCAAGTCTGTCTGCCGGCAATGGGAGTCATTCTGGCGCTCATTCTGCCCCCTCCACAGCAGCAATAAAAGGGAATTCAAAAAAGAAAGACAGAACACAGAAAAACAGCAGCAGCAGAATACAAGAGCAATTAAAGGAGAACGGTGCTGCAGATGCACATGCAGATGAGAATGAGGATGAGGATGAGGATGCAGCACCATCACCAGCACCAGTTGTGTGCATTCGCTCAACAGCGGCAATAGTTCACCGAAAGTGATTCAAACAAAGAGGTGGGGGGGGGGAATGATGATGTTGCTGCCTGGAAAGCAGGAAGCTGAATAGTAGTAGCTGAACAGCAGCAGCAGCAGCAGCAGCTTGCAGACAAATTGCTGGCATTGTTGAATGTGCCTGCCCGAACTACCAGCTGCAGCAGCACTGAATCTAAACAGCAGCAAACAGTGTGTGTGTGTTTCTGGCAATTATCAATAAAACACACAGAAAGTGAACCTGGCAGAAGCCAGTGCACTTTCACAATTGCCCCCCCCCCTTGCCTGGTAAAAGCATGTGTGACACACACACTGAAGCAAAAGTCAAATCATCCATTGCATTGAACATAGGTAACACTTTCCCGAATTGGAGTAGCTCTGGTAGTAGTGTGAAGTGCCTCATCAGCATCAGCATCCCCATCAGCCGTCTCCCCTTTCCTCCTTCTCCTCCTCCTGCCAGTGTCATCCTATCTGCCAGTGTCAATCTAAAGCCAGCATGTCTGATTGAAGTCTCACTGTCTGACTGTCTTTGCTTTTTGCCTTTTTTCNCACAATTGCCCCCCCCCCTTGCCTGGTAAAAGCATGTGTGACACACACACTGAAGCAAAAGTCAAATCATCCATTGCATTGAACATAGGTAACACTTTCCCGAATTGGAGTAGCTCTGGTAGTAGTGTGAAGTGCCTCATCAGCATCAGCATCCCCATCAGCCGTCTCCCCTTTCCTCCTTCTCCTCCTCCTGCCAGTGTCATCCTATCTGCCAGTGTCAATCTAAAGCCAGCATGTCTGATTGAAGTCTCACTGTCTGACTGTCTTTGCTTTTTGCCTTTTTTTCCCCTTTTCCCGTTTCCCCACCACTACCAGCGACTAATGATGCCTGTGATGGAAATCGCTTTCCTCTCTCTCTCTCTTTATCACAACAGTCGATTCGAATTGCCCATTCTCGAGAACATGACAATCACGAGGATGGACAAAATGGCAGCCAGTGCACTCAAGTGCTGCCTGTCAGCTGAAGCTCTCTTCCCGAGAAACAAGAACTGGTCACTCACTCGGTGCTGCCATCAGTGCTGTCATCAGCATGGCATGTCCAGAGCACATGTCTAAAAGTGGACAGAAAGTTGACAGTGCTGGAAGTTGCAACAAACCGAATCAGGCGATGCAAATCACTGCAGGCACCACTCAGCACCACCACCACTGATGATGGTAGACAATGGCATTTAGTGGAACCGCAATGGCACTAGTAGGACCAGAACAGCAATCGATTCTTTGCCATCTTTCCTTCCTCTTGAGCAGCAGCAGCTAATGTACTTTGTACGACTCAGTGCTCATCCTCCCCAATTCCTCTCCCTGCGTTCAGTTCCTGTTCTGCCGGTGCCCACAACATGCCTTCTTCTTTTCCATTTGAGTGCTGCTGCTGCTGAAGCAGTGCTCAGAAGTCTCCTCCACTCAAAAGTGCCCACTGCCTGCGTCGTTCAAATGTCGCCAGAAGAAAAAGTTTTTGCCAGAAAAGTGGTCTCAGTGGTGGTGGTGGTGGTGGTAGTGTAAAAGTGCACACAGGCAGAACAAAAGCCACTAAAACATCAGGCAAACCAGAAAAAGAAGGAGTGCTGGTCGCAGCACCATTTGTTCATTCTTCTCTGTCAGCAGCACTGTTTTCAACCAGAAAAAAGTGCCGCTCTCTGTTCGAGGTTGACTTTGATCAACTTCCCTTTTTCCTTCCCAGTTCTTTTACTGACCGACATTTTACAGAGCGAGAGAGAGTAACATTCTCTCTCTCATTAAATCTGCCCACTGCGAGCAAATTCCAGTGACAACAGACACATTCTACTGCTCTGCAGAGTACAGCAGCAGTGTCTTTTACAGTTTGTCGGTTTGCAGCATCAGCGGCAGCGGCAGCAAACCCAAACCGTTTGCCACTTTTACACGTTTGGCGGCAATAAAACCAGACAAGCGTTCCATACACACACAGACACAGCAAATAGCCGTTTCCCCTTCCCCTTGGCCGCTCTCTCGCACTCTCTCTCACTTTCATTGCGTCCGTTAGCAGACAATGCTCGACGGCAGCTGTAAAGCAGTTAGCTGATGGTAGCTGGTGGCAGCATCAGTTGTGAGGGAGTGCATTTCGGCAGTCAATTGGTGCTGGCCGTAAGCCAAGACAAGCCAACACTTGCCTGGCACTGCACTTGGCCGCACAGCATTTCGCCCGCCGCCAGTTTTAAGTTGCTAAGATTGCTCCGAGAGACTGAGACTGCTGCTGCCATCGCTGGTGGTCGACAGTGAAAGAAAGAGAGATGGATAGATAGATAGCTGCTCTAACAGCCGCTCTTTCACATTCTTCTCTGCCTATCTTCCTTTATTCTTTTTTCTGCAGCACCGTGAGTGGTGCACTGCAAATTAACGCTCCTTTTTTTGGAAAAAGGTAGTGCAGCAGCAGCGGGTTGCACGGGCAATCATGTGCTCAATCATTACCTACCAGTACTACCTGTGTGTAATAAAT